AATAATTATAGTTCCGTAACTGAAATACACTAGTGTTACTTACACTCCTAGACTCCTCACAATTGGAATCGGAACTTGTATCTGTTGAGCTTTCAGCATAAGATGCTACCTTCCTCTTTCTAAGGCTCTCTCGCTTGCGTTTAGTAGTAGCTTCAGTAGTAGCTTTAGTAGTTGAAGTGTTCCCAGCAACGGTAAGAGAGTTTCCTGATAATGTCGAATTGTGGATGTTGTGGATGTGAATCGAGGAACCACCGCTTGTTTTACTTGATTTACGTGTTTTTTCCCAATCCTTGACGCGTTGTTGGTCAGGTTTATCTCCCTTTTGCAAACAAGATTCAAATTAATAATATTTTTAACTAACATAATCCTATTTTCCACCCGATTTCCATCCTACAAGGTCAACGATCGCTAGATCAGCGAGTAGTTTTTAACATCAGACAACCGATTGAAAGGTTATCTGTGCCCCGTAGGATCAGTGCTGGATCAGCGGTTACTGGGTAAGCAAATGGCCTTGAACATCAGACCACCGAGTGAGTTAACAACATGGGTCGTCTGTGCTCCAGCACTGATTTTGTGGCTCGGCGGTCGCAAAAAATGCGAATGGCCTTGAATGATCAAGCACCGAGTAGATCTTGGGTCCTTGTCACGCCACTATTTTTCACTTGCATATTTGACAAAAAATTTTACTTACGTTACTGTATCTTCTGAGAAGCTCCTCTGCTTTTTCTTTTCTCTTTTTTTGCTCACTACGAGCAATACATCTGAGGCACCTAATGTATCGATCCACTTTTTTGCCGTATGGCTCAAGGTCGCATTGCTCTAAAAATTCTATAATGTCCCATTTTGAAGGCTTTTGTTCGAAATATCCATAATGTTCATTCCTATCTTCGTCCATCTATTTTCGAAAGAAATGGCGAAATACCCGTAATGAAATGTAAATAATCTGCACGTCGAAAATTTCTATACGGGGTAGTTTTAAACATGATAAACATGACATTTGTGTTACGCAAGAGATTTTTAATGATCGCCATATCACATCAGACGTATTTAAAAATCAAGTAATAATAGATTTAACTTTATTCATGAAAATATACGGACCAACTGGCTAATTAATATAATGAATACTAGAGTAACGGTTGTTTCAAGGGAGAAAAAGCAGTGGAAAGACCATTGCCTGCTTATTTAGCCTGTCGGGCCCCAACCCATAGAAGACAGTTCCTTTCCGTTACTCAGTAAAAAATTGTCTGATCTATCCATGCACCAATTTTTTCTAAATTTTCGCTTTTTATATTTTCCCCACGGTAAAAACCCTTTATCTTTTCCAATTGTTCTCCCAAGCCTAAGAATATCAGCCGATACAACATTACACATCTGATCTAAAGAATAATCCCTCGCACCCTTAGCTAAGGATGGGTCCCTAAACTATTTAGCATATAAAATTTCACAGATCAATTATGTCCCTTTTGAAGGGACATAATTATTTATTCATTACTTTAATAGGGACATAATTCAAAAAACACTTGAATCAAGTGTCCTAAATTGTAAAAAACCTTTGTAGATAGTTTTTTTTTGACCTTATATTTAAAAAAAAACTTTTTTAATAGTAAGGAACATTTGAATTATGTCCTTGTCTTTAATTTAGGGACCCATCTTTACCCTTAGCTCTATCAAATATATTTGAAAATTGTTTCCGGATTACAGAAATGATATTTGCAAATCTTTGGCTTGAGTTTAAGGAATTTGAAGCCTCGGTTTGCTGGTTTGATGAATAGGTAGATAATGACGAAGCCTTGATTTGCTGGTTTGATGAATAAGCGGAAGATGACAAAGCCTCGCTTTGCTGGTCTGATAAACGAACAGAAGATGACAAAGCCTCGGTTTGCTGGTCAGATCCTCTACTATTAGTACTCTGGACAAGGAAGTGTCGTTAATTGATTTCACTCTGGAGCGTTGTAAACATCCTGCCGATTAATTCGAAATCAATGGCAATTTGACTAAAATTATTATGGTAGGTTTCTAGAACTCACTCGATTTCACTATATTTCTCATTTATTATGTTAATGATATTCTGTACTTTCGTTGCATAGTTAGCATCACAGGAACTTATTTTTGTGGTAAGATCGTTATTATACTAGTCCAAATTGGGTTATTCGGCTACCGAATTACAGCTGATTAAATCCAAATTTATTAATAAAAGTTTATACCGAAGTTTTGTTGTTTGGT